GCGGCTCAGAATGAGGCCCTGTATAACTGAGGGCCCTCTTAATGGTTCATTGATGGCCAGCTTCTTGCTGTGTCCTCACATGGTAGAAGGGTCTACCCAAAGGTGCTCTTTGGGTCTTTTATATAAGAACACTGATTCCGTACGTGAGCCAGTCAACCACCCCCAGTCTCTTGAATTGTGAGAAGTAAATATATGGTATTTGTACTCATACTCTTCATGGTATTTTTTTTTCAGCCACCCTAATGGACTGAGGCAAAATTGGTACGAGAGTGGGGTGCTGCCCTTAACACATACTTAAAACTGGAAAAGAGTGGCAAAAAAAAAAAAAAAAAAGCCAGAGGAAGCTTGAAGAGCTTGAAGTGTTTTCTGAGAATGGACCCATAAAGATGATCCTGTGTGTTGTGTGTCGCGCGCGCTCTCTCTCATGCATGCGTGCATGTGCAAACTCAGAAAACTAATAGAAAAGCAGGAGAGAAACCCCCAATCTTTTTAGATAATGCTTATTCGGGATAAAATGTTAACGGATGGCAAAGGCCATGCTGATAAGTCTCAGATAAACAGGAGGAAGTTGGAAAAAGGATGGTTCTCGTAATAAGGTGGCAGAGACTGGCTGAATTCTGTTTGTGTGCTAGTGTTTTGTGGAATGTAGAACTTGAGAGTGATGATGCCACATATTTAGCTAGGGAAGCTCCTAAGCCATGTGTAGCTTCACTCTTCCTAACTGCTTTTAGGAGTACACAAAGAGAGGAGAATAAATTAAAGATAGACTTGCTAGCCAAAAGGAACTAGAATCTAATAAAAACTGAGAAAATGCCTAGCTTCTTCATGTTGCAACAAAGAAGCAGACAAAACCACAGAGAAGAGATGTGAACATCTGACTGACAGAAGGGTATAGTGCAGCTCAGCCATCCAGACAAAAGCCAGGAGCTATTTTTTTCTGGACAATAGGGAAATGCCATGAAGATGATTCAGCGGTTGCTAGGCCTGTGACTCCCATTATAGGCTCAGACTGCCACACTCATTAGGAGGTGGGAATGGGACAGTTTCAATAGGTTCAGGCATCTATTCAAGAAGTCCGGGATGCCCATGCCTGGTCCATCCAGGGTGGAGTCTCTGCAGAGAGCTACAGGGTGGACTGTGACCAGCGGAGCTGTTGGGACAAACCTCCATGGTAGAGCTGCAGGTCTGCCCTGGGAAAGCTGCAAAGGCCTGGCAGAGAGAGGACATCCACTGAGCTGTGGGTATGACGCTGCTACGCAAAAAGGCGTGGCAAACAGAACATCAGCCCAGAAAAGCCACAGGCACACAACACATCCTCATAGAGCTATGGAAGTGGGTTCCCTGCCTCAGTGGGTCTATTGCCCCAATCTGGCTCTGACAGCTACAGAATGAAGACAAAGAGAATTGTCCTTGGATTAAAGCTTAGACTTGGCCCTGCTGTGTTTAGACCCACTTGGGCCTGCTTCTCCTTTTTTCTCTTCTTGGAATGG